CATATACACACACATACATATATACACACACATACATATATACACATATACACACACATACATAAATACATATATACACATATACACACACATACATATATACATATACATATACATATATATATACACACACACTAAATTATTTAGTAAAATAATTCTAAATTATATTATTTTTTTATCTTAAAAAATGAATCTATAAAAATGTATACATATAAAGTTATGACTAAACATACATAATTTGGTGGTGTATACATGCCATGACATGTTATTACAGGTTATGCTTGAAATGCAATTTTATACAATAACAAGGGGTGTCTACCAAAGGGTCTTTTTGCCTGATAATGGTGACCCCTGTTGTTAGTTTTGAACTAGTTTATGTAAACCCTGAAAACCACCAATACAAAACAAAAAGTCTCTAAAAACCAAGTGTGAAGAAGTTGCAAGTTGAAAAATAAACACTCAAAACAAATCGTATGTAAATTTAGCAATAGCATCAACTAACATAAACGGCTGTGTGAAGGGTGACAGTTTAACCTGCTGTATAAATAATAGTTATGGGGGGCGTGAACACAGTGCTGTCATGCTTGGCAGTGTGATGCCTGAACTGTAACAGGTGTTTGCTAAACTAATTCCTCTTAGGTATGATGCTTATGAAATGCATAACCTTGGTTTTCCAGGTCAACTGAAGTAAGTGTCCAGTCAGGGACAAAATGTTTATCCAGTTAGGCAAGTTAAGACTATTAGAGGCCTTCATCACGATCCTGCGCATGCATTCAAATCACAGGTGAATTAAAGCCATGCGTCAGTATGCGTGATGTGCATCTGACAGCTGGAGGAAAACAGACGCGTGTCACTCACCCTTATGCCCTTCACTACCGTTATATTCTCATTCTCATCCGACTCAAAAGACACGCGGCGCGTGCTGTTGTTGGCTCCCATTCCTGCTCAAACAAGCTCGCTAGTGTTTAACAAGCTAGTTCATTTAAATTTGATCAGTAGTTATGAACTCCAAAGAGTTGACAGCTCTCGAGTTGTTACGCGCGAGCACAAGGGCCGCACGCTCCGGTTCAGAAACACACAGTGCTTCCGCCTTTAGCCCCTCCCACTTGGCAAAGGCAAAGAAAGACGATTCTCATTGGTTGAGCGCAAGTGCTTAGTGTCTCTATTGGACAACATAAATAGAAGAAAAGCATAGTGTATTTTAAAGATTGTTCATTTATTAGTTTATTTATTCATATTAAAAGTACAATATACGAAATTAATGTCTATTTCAGAGCAGAATAATTTTATCGAATTTTCTGCTATTTTTCAACAGGTCTGTGCTCTTATTAGGCTGAATCTAAGTTGTAATTGATGTACTTTATTTGTCTTCTACTTGAATATTCTCTTAAATAATATTTTGTAAGGTTTCATTCTTCAATTCCAGTAAATAAAAATTGAAAGAAAACACTCTTCATGATTTTTTGACATTTATTAAACCTCCTTAAAAACAAGCATTGTCATGTCAGCATATATATATATATATATAGTAAATACATATATGTACATACACATACACATCTTTACAAAAATATTTACAAAAACATATAGAAGCAAATTCCAACATAAATTAAACTTCAGAGGGTTTAATCAATGCATTGAAATACACACACACACACATACATTATTATTCATTAAAATGACTATATATATATATATATATATATATATAGTCAAAAAGCAAATATATATACATATATATATATATGTACTGCTTTGAGTTTTTTTTATTATTATTTTTAAATGCCAAACAGCTTTAAGAAATGATTTGTTTAAAATAGGTACATTCTGTCTTAGAAGCACTTAACAGTATTATAACTGAAAAGATGTTCCTGAAGTCCTCATGTCAAACTGGAGCTGTGTGCATTTAGAGATGTGGGTCCTCTGTCCTTTAGTGGGTGGCTGTCTTTGTCTACATGCCCTCAGGTGTCATCATGACAACCTTTTATCCTGCACTAGGTGATGAGAAATAACCTCAGTCCTGTGTCATCAGCAAAGGACAGTAGCTTGCTCAGACATGATGGGCCTTGGAGGAAGCTGATAAGAACTTCTGGATCTGACTAGGCTCAGAGGAGCTAAGAGAAAAATAACCCCAGAGTCTCCGTGATTGTTTCCTTTTTTGAAGGGGCACAAAATTGGCCACTATGTTATCTCTGCTGTCCTCGGACACATCAGTCAAAGAGGAGACTGCCAGATCGACCCTTTCCCACACAATCAATGCCCTTTCCTCTGTGGTTTGTTACAGCAGAGATCGTCAGGAGATAGAGGGGAGCAGGTCCAGAGCAATATACCCTAGAAACAGAAAGCAATTAACAACCTACACCTTTCAATCTGTCTTTCTCCCTTCCTGTATGTCTGGTGTGTAAAATAATTTTTCATATTCCTTTGAGTCGTATCTTTTGATTGAACCAGTTCACAAAACTGATTTGTTCAAGATTAAATGTACACTAAGTTAAGTTAAAAGATGTAAATTAATTTTAGTATTGTCTAATATATAAAAATGATATATAATGAATAAATGAAAAAATTATTACCTAAATTATGGCTGCTCAAAATGAAATGGGAGAAATGAGACTGTTTGTTATTAAAAAGTGATATAGTGAATAAACAGCAAAATGAAATAAATAACAGTGTTTTTTGTATTTTATTTCAAAAAAGAACAAAACGTCTACAAGCAAAATGACAGTTAACAGAATATTCTAAGAGGATTACATTTAATTTAACAAAAGAATGAACTAAAGCATATGATTACACAATTACACAGTAGAAAAATTGAATATCCAAAGTTATTTAAAGAATGCAAATATATACCAACTACTTTATTGAAAATAAAAATTAGGTAAATGAAGGTATACATTTTTAAATAACATTTATGGATCTAAAAACGATTGTAGCCGTTTTCAGCAAAAAAAAAAAAAGACTACATTTCCTACATTTCCCTACGATCCCACGATCAGCTGATTTTGCTGAAGGCGGCTTCCCATTGGCTGAAGTCCGTCACGAGGTGTTTGGGTGTAGTAACGGAAAGATGGCAGCTGACCCAGGCAGATACAGGAGCGCTGTCAACAAAAGCAAAGACCCTTCCGGTTTACTTATATCTGTAATAAGGTGAGCACGATATTTTTACAATATCGGTGTCTGCCAGCTTGACTTTGCCTGCGTTAAATCTTTGCACCCGGATTTTCTAAGGAAAAGTACCAGAATGGATGACCGCTTAGCATGTTTGCTAACTATACATCCTGTTATTCTTTCATATTTTGTTATTATACACGTATGAGTTGTGTAACAACTACATCTTAAGAACCTTTACGTTGCATCAGCTGAAGTTGATAGTTTTCTGTGAGGTCTTCTGAATGACACGTACTTTGTAGGCATACTTCAAAACGTGTTTAAATGGAAAGTGCTTATGTTTTGACAGGACTGAGTTTCAAAACAGAGGGAACCTAGGGAACTGTTTACTTAAACAGCACTGTTTGAACATCATAAACGCAGTCTGATTATTTGTCTTGGTTGTCAACACTTAAACAACACAATCACAATATGCAAGTGCTATAATATGAAAGTATAACGAAAGAAAATCGTGTGCAGTGGAAAATGTAGTATATCTATATGTGATGTTAACTGTATGATAAGTAATATATTGAATTGATTTTATTTCTAATAATTTTTTTGTGGCCATTGAGAAGGCAGGGAAGCTGGCATGTTCTTGTACATATAGGCTTTTGTGATCTTGTGGAAGATGTGACTATTTTGAGGCTAATTTGGTGATGGTAGATGGCAGCCGGAACCCAGTATAGTGTGGTAAAATGACTGCCTAATTGAGGGTTATAGTTAGTTACAGCACATATTCATGACTTTTGGTAATGGCTGGGTGAGTTGTAATGAACGTTTTGCCCAAGTAGTACATTCACAGCATCAAACCTTGACTTTACATAGATGAAACCTATTTCCTTCCATTGAGCACAGCTGAGCTGATAAGCTGTCAGAAATCCATCATTCTGCTTCACGGCTCTTTTATCTCCTTTTTACCCATCAGCCGTTTCCATTATGATGTCCTATGGGCAACGAGTGAGGTCAAAAAAGAGCGAGTCTATGGGCCGAAGCTTGATCTACATGATCTGTGCTTCACTGCGAGCTTGAAGGGACTTTTCCCTGCTGAATACTGGCTCTCAGACGTTCTTTCTATATCTTTCTGAGCTCCAGAGACTGGACTGAATGTAATGAGCTCTTTTGGGAGATTGTGCTGCCTTACTTTACTCTGATTTAAAGCCACACCGCTGCGGAAATGAGTCAGGATAGACTTTGAGAGCTGAGATTTGATGTCTGGCAGTCTGCGGTCTGGGACATTGTTGGATTGGCACCGGCCCCAGCGGGTCTCCTCGAGTGGGTGGGCTTCTGATGATGGATTGTAGTGAAATTGTGTTGTGGTGGCCAAAAATCCAACTACTTATGTCTTGAAAGTTTGCAAGGTAATGATGACAGGATGAGTTTAGATTGAGTGCAGCCTTGGCTCTGGAAGATTTAAGTGTACTGCAGTCAATCACGATTTTCCAGTGTCAGAAATAGCAAGAAAGCCAAAGCCAAGATGCTAGAAAAATGTCATGGGCATTCATGAAATGTTCTTTCTTTCAAAAAAAAAAAAAAGTATTATTATTATTGAATTGATTATTGAATTGCATGTTGTCTTGGTTATATCATTTTTATATACAATAAAAAAAAATATTGTCCTTACTCATTTGGGGTAAATAAAATATTAATATAATTTATTTATTTATTCCCAAAATGAACAAAGAAAATCTTTTTATTTATTTACAAATAACTAATTACCTAAATGAATACATAAATGGTTTAATTATTTATTTAATACGTTTTTCATTCATTCATTCATTCACATTATTTATTTACGCTGATGGACCAGGTAAAGATGTGATAATATGCTATTATACTGTATATGATATTATTAATTTTATTAGCAGTAGTATGTTTTTGTAAAACATAACATTTAAAACAGTTTGATGTAGCATATCTTTCGGTCAGGACATTGTCCAGCAGTGAGGATGTGCAGGACCGAGAGACGGAGAAGGGCCGTCTGGAGGAGGCCTATGAGAAGTGTGATCATGATCTGGATGAGTTGATAGTTCAGCACTACACAGAGCTCACCACAGCCATCAGAACCTACCAGAGCATCACAGAGAGAATTACCAGCTCTCGCAACAAGATCAAACAGGTGTGCAACACATTCGTCTGCTTTCAGCAACTCCCAAACAATTGTAAATATGATCAGGTTTCTAATTTGTGACCCTGGACCACAAAACCAGTCATAAGTAGCATGGGTATATTTGTAGCAATAGCCAACAATACATTGTATGGGTCAAAATTCGATTTTTCTTTTATGCCAAAAATCATTAGGGTATTAAGTAAAGATCATGTTCCATGAAGATATTTTGTGAATTTCCTACCATAAACTTTATTTTTGATTGGTAATATGCATTGCTAAGGACTTCATTTGGACAACTTTAAAGGCGATTTTCTCAATATTTAGATTTTTGTGCACCCTCAGATTCCAGATTTTCAAATAGGTGTATCTTGGCCAGATATTGTCCTATCCTAACAAACCATACATCAATGGAAAGCTTATTTATTCAGATGATGTATAAATCATGTTTTTTGTGTGTAAGGGTTTTATATTATATTATATTATATTATATTATTTTATTTTATTTTTACAGAATGAAAATAAAACCATATGGGCCTGGATAAAATCTAAAAATGTTTTAGGCGTACACGATAAGAGACATGAGAAAAGCAGGCAATTAAATCTTTATTCCCAAACAATCATAATCATGACAGGTATATCAGGTCCCCCTGTTTAATAACACTATAACATTTGATAATATATTACAATAACAACATTAAATAACATGATATAAGCTAACTTTTCTTTTTGTTATACATTTTGGAAATAGTTTTTACACTGTGATATATTATTTACGTTGATGAAAAGTTCAAAAGACATAATTTAATTAAAAAATAGTAATTCTCGGTTACATTATAAATGTCT